GTTTTAGCTATTCCATTTATTCCATTTACAGCTTTACCATTACGTGCCCTTCTAGCACGAACACCTTCACGTAATAGATCCAAAACTTGAACTGTAGTTTCCCAATCAATACATGCATCTGTTATTGATTGACCATAAATAAGATTTGCATTTCCATCTGGTGGAAGGTCTTGACGTCCTATATTATTATTATTATCATTATTGTAAGTCATTATGTTATTGGATTATTATAATAATAATCATAAAATAAAAATAAAAATAAAAATATTTAACAGCTACCTTCTACCAAGTTACTTTCAATCATTACGCCCATTATATTAAATCCTGTTTGTGAATTTTTAAGTTGTTCAGCCTACAAAAATTCATTAATTAATTCACAATGACAAGAGAGAATATTCATTCAATACTCACAATGTCTTTAGCTACATCTACTTGTTTTCTGAACACCTTTTGACTATTACCGTGACTGCAGTCAATCATTACACGTGCAGTAAGTTTTGCAGCCTCTAATTTAGATACAACATTTTTTACATTCTTGGCTGAATAATTAGGTCCAAGTGCACCACCTCTTAAAATTACATGACAACAATCATTTCCCTAATTTATTAGATTTATTTAGTATTTAGTGAATAGTTACATTTTGTCAATATTTTTATTGTAGAGCTTACCTCTGTTGCCACTATTGCACTTATTCCCTGTTTTGTGGCTGATAAGAAATTATGTTTAGCACTAGCAGCTTTGATAGCATCAACAGCTACAACTATATTTCCATCAGTGCCTACATATTTTTCAAAGGAATCAATATCCATTATCAATACACGCATACACACGTACACACTCTCTTTCCTCCACACTTATATTTACCATTTTTGAAACCAACAGGTACAGATAAACCTGAAGCTAATTCGCGATGCACTTGTGATTCGGTGGTTCTTGCACCAATAGCACCCCAGGAAACTAGATCTGCAATGTATTGTGGTGTGATTGTATCAAGAAATTCACATCCGCATGGAACTCCCAATTGATTCTATTTAAATGTTAAATTGATTTTTTTTTTAAAAATAAAATAAATAATGGTTTTTCCCAAAAAGGGTTGTATTTACTTACTATATCTAATAATAAATTTCGTGCAACTCGTAAACCTTTATTTATTTGAAAACTAGGAAAAGAAAGAACAATCTCTATTAATCTCACACTCTCACCCACACATATATATCATATACAAAATATAATAGGTACCTGTTGTTTAATTCAGGATCATTTATCAGTCCTTTCCATCCCACTGTGGTTCTTGGTTTTTCGAAATAAACTCGCATGATAATAGCTAATTCACTGCTTGCACTAACCGAATATTCCTTTAATCTTTCAGCTAAATTTGTAATGATGATAAATGAATAAATATTTATTTATATATTACATGGAAAAAATTTATTTCCATCCAATCATTTATATTTACCATATTCGAGAGCAGCAGAAACATCATGAACTGAACAAGGACCAACTATTACAAGAAGTCGGTCGTCTTGACCTTTTATGATGCTTTCGGCAGCAGAACGACCAACTATGACACTTTGTGCTGCTTGGAAGGTAAGTGGAAAGTCTTCCATTAAAATTTGAGGTTGAATTAATGGCCTTATGTTTTTTATGCGTTTATCATCGAGCCCATTTAGTGCTGATGGATTATTTAGAATTATATTATGTTATTATAAGTAATAATGTAAAATCGATCATTTTTAATATAAAGACAAATACCATCACGAATGTCAAGCCTTTTTCTCATTTTTTTTATTTATTTATATAGTTGTTTTTTTATTTTTTTATAAAAATTGTGAAAAAAATTTTTGAAACAATTTAAACAATTTAAAAATTGATTGATGATGGATGGATGGATGACAAACTATGACACATTTACAGTACATAAAAAACTAAGCCATCTTTTATTGGCTTTGATGTTTTTAAGATATAAACAAATAAATAAAACAATTAGAAGTTGCACCAATGTAGATGGTTTTTTTTTAAAAAAAAATGAAAAAACTAAATATAGTGACGGCAAATGATAAAAGTTTACGAACTTGGGTAATTTGATAATATATACCCAAGTCAAGAAATTTCATTATATAAAAATATTGTGCTACGTGTAGTGTTCGAAATAAGTATAGTATAAATTTGCCAATCTTTATTTATTTAATATTAATCTTGGGATTTTTGATTAAAGATTTTCAAAAAAAATAAATGTGGTGAAATTGTTGTATGTCAAATTGAAATTATGTGAAATTGAAATATTATGGAGTGGGGTTGGCTAATTTGAATTTCACACATGTAAAAATTTGAATTTCACATATGTGAATTGCCAAAATTGAAGATCTTCACAATGCATTAAAATCAAAGCGATTTTGTTTACAAATTTGTTCTCGTGGATATAATACAAAAAAAAATGTCGGTATTAGAATCTATGGTAGAAGCGATTGATGAACAGAATGTAGCAATAAAAAATTTTGAGTCAGAATATGAGGATTTTAAAAATGAATTAAAAACTCTTCAAGATTATAAAAATAAGTTAATAAATAAAAAACTCGGATTAAAACAGGTACGTGCATATATCATTTATTCTAAATGCGTGCATATATCATTTATTCTAAACGCGCATACATACATGTAAATATATATAATTAATTGTAAATTATGTGAATCAAGGATATAATTCAAGCTAATAAACTTATTGAAGATGCAAAAAATTATTATACTGAGGATGATTTGAATCGTTTTTCTAGTATGTGAAGGAATTTTTTCTTATAAATGACTTTTATTTAATTAGTTATTCAAATGATTGATATCCATTTAATTAATTTACTATTAGAGATATATGATTCTCTTTTACATACTCATCAATGGCAACCTGTTGAATTAAAGAAAGATCTTGTTATTATGAATTGCAAGAATTTGGAAGTGAAATTAAACTTTGACATAAATGAGAACAAAATATTATCTCTGGAATTATCAAATTTAATTAGTAATGATATGAACAATGAAGAGAAGAAATATTGTAATCTGTTAATATTAGGATTACAAAAGATGATATCAAGGAATATAGCAAAATCTTTACAACAAATCAATGAGGTGTCAAGGATCTTGCAAGAAATTAAAACTTATTGGAATAATGTGTACCAAATTTATCAAGAAATATTTATCTTAAGGCTAAAATTTCCAACTGAAATACTTGTAATTTCTAATAAAGATGATAATAATAACAGCAGCAGAGATGAAAGTAATAATAATATTAATAATAATAATGATGATAATGATAGTGACAATGAACCTACATTATGTTTGCAAGTACTTTTTTTTAATTATAAAAAAAAAACAAAATTTTATATAAATTATTATTTGTGTACAGATGATGTGATGAATTATCCACTATGGGAAAATATAAAATATAATGTTGAGCTTTGCTATGGAGGTGTAAAGTAAGTGAAAAATCAAATTTATTAATTTATTTTTGGTGAAATTAAATTAATATGATTATATGACTAATATATATAGTG